GCTGCATCTGAATCAGCACAGCAGGGATAGAGATGCAAAAGCTCTGAGAGTGGGAATCAGTGAACTCAATTGAAAGCAGAGCTGGTGGGGAGCCCTGCATTGACCTGCAATGAGTGAGAGGAACGGGGACCCTTCCAAGACAAAGAGGCTCCAACAGAGGACATTCTTGGACCAGGTAGACTAGCCAGAACAGGACACTACAGTGACTTCAGTCACATATTCCCTTCTCAAGCAGGATTGGTGGGGAGCACCTGACCTGGGTGACGTCGCAGACTAAGACCCAGTAGGCTAACCCAAACCAGGTCCCTATGCCTGGCAGTGCATCCTAATGCAGGGAAGCCTTCAGCAGGTTGATTGACCTGGATGAGCAGGCCCAGCATAGGCTGCCCAGGTCTGTGTCTCCCTGGTACACTTCAGTGGGTGGGAACACCTAGCCAGTGTGATTCAAACAAACTAACTGACAAAGAAAGAAACTGGGCCTCCTATATACGCTTGTATGGAAGGAACAAAAAGTATGGGAACAGGGAGCAACAAGAAAGGGTCCTCAGTCCCCAATCCTGAGAATACTGATCCAGGAGAGGTAAATACGAAGGAGAATGAGGACAGAAAACATGCAATATCAGGCATGGCACCAGTAGATATAAAGCGATATCTCTGGGACCTCGTAGATGAGTTCAAAAGTGAAGTATTTAACCACGTAAAGCAAGATATAAGTAGAATAGTTAAAGAAATGCTAAGCACCTCGCAAGAAAAAACAGAAGGTGGAATGGAGGAACAGAAAGAAAGGGGAGAACTGTTTGATAGAGAAAATAGAGAAAATGTAGAATACATGAAGCAGGTTCAAAGAGTTTACCAGGAAACCAAAAACTCTATTGAAAGCTAGCATAACAGCTTGAAAGAAACTATGGATAGATTATCTGAACTGCAGGAAGATTTGTAATGTGGGAGCATGAAAGGAAAAACTTCTTAAAAATAACAAGGAAAAAAGCAGTAACAATACAAAGGCTAGAAGATGATAAGAGGATCTATAACTTAAGAATTAAGAATGTAAAGGAAGAAGCAGGGATACAAACAAATGAACTGTAAAGACTATTTACAGAAATAATCAAGGAGAACTTCCCTAATATGGGAAAAGGTATATATACTCAGATCTATGAGGCATACAGGACCCCAGCCACTTACAACCCAAACAGAACTACACCCAGGCATATAATAATCAAAATTCCAGAAATCCAGTATAAGAACAGAATATTAAAAGCTGTCAGAGACAAGAAAAAATCACTTACAAGGGAGCACCCATCAGAATTACAGCAGACTTCTTGACACAAACCATCAAATCATGAGTGTGGGGCAAAATAATTCAAGCTTTAAAAGACAGTAACCTCTAGCCAAGATTGATATATCCTACACAACTGTCCCTAGTAATTAATGGAGAAACAAGGTGCTTCCAGGTAACTAGGGGAATTTGAAACCACCAATTCAACTCTACAGAGAATACTGCAGGACATTCTAAGAGAGAAAAATACCAAGATTCCAGAAACAGAGGCAGATAGGCCACAATGAATGGAGCAGAAAGCGAAATGAAGAAGACAAACTGACAATTAATGACAGAAAAAGAGCTCAACAGAAATGAGGCAGAGAAGGTTGGATGGTATGAACAGCTATTTTGGAGAAAACAAGATATCATAATAGCTAGTGCTGATTTAATATCATCTTGTTTTGAAGTCACATCAAGCTTTTGTTCTTCTGTCTCCATCAGTCTTAACAAGTTGTATCTTATTGGATTTTATTATATGTGATAATATAAACAAAAACTTTTATAGACAAGGAGATAATACAGAAACCATTGTTAATTTTCTGTTAGTTGGTTCTAAATACCCTGTAATACTGTCATTCTCTTGAATGGTTTTACATTGTCTTTAATATGTTTGATGCTACAGTATATGAAGTTATACTCAAAGATTTCAAGGAAAGAGACACTATGGTAACTACTTTTATGTGGGGATATCTTGTGGTAAAACACTATTTTGCTTAAATGGTTATGTTCTGACCTGTGCTGTTTTGTTGGTATGTCCTCTATTATCTCAATCTCCTTTATTATTATTTTTTTAAATTTTTATCATTTTAATTAAGGGAAAAAATAAATAAAAAATAGCAGGATATATTATAATCCACTTTGATTTCCTATTAAATTGATTTAAAACCCTGTATTGCTCTCACTATCTTATTTTGACTGATTTTACTCTATTTTATTTTGCTTGATAGTACCAAGTTTGACAGTATAGGCAACAACAGTGAAGACAATAAGATTCACTATGATATCCATTCTGGTTTGACTGTTATCTTCTTTTGAAGTCCTGTAATGTCTCCAATGTTTTGGTTTTATTGGTTTTGTTCCTGTAATGTCTCCAATGTTTTGGTTTTATTGGTTTTTTATTATAACTGATGATATAGGCAATTCTTTTTAAGATATCAAGAGGCATTATGGTAACTACTGTTGATCATCTTGTATTCTGTTTTTATATCATGTACTATGCCCATCCTTTTGATTTGACAGACTGTTTTGTTATGTCACATTTGGTTTTATTGTCTTCAAAAAAAAAAAGTAATAAGAACTGTGGGAGTAATAAAACCCAAAATGTGTAATTGTCGTTGTAAAAAAGAGAGGAAAAGAAAGTGCTCTAAAGGATATATAACTGCATGTATATTTAAGCGTTAAGGTAGATAACCATATTACTGAGTTTTGTTGGATCATTGAACAGAAATGTTTGCAGTCTCACTGTTTCAATGTCCACTTTATATGCTTTAATTTTGTAACTTGAACAACTATTTCTAAGATGACAATATGTAATCTATTAACTACTGATTTCCTACTGTTTATTTTTTTTGAAATTCTGTATAACTTGTACCCTTTAAAAAATTACTCTATGTCTTTGAATTAGTTTTTTCTTGCTAGGATCTGTACTCTGGAATTCAGCAAGTCATAATTTTTTCTGCTTAGGTTTATGGCCTGTGGGTTTCGGTGCCCTGCTGCTCCATGGGCCCCTCTGTCTGTGGACCACTGACTATGGCAACCACTCAAGCTGAGATATTTCTGTGATGGGAAAAACAATTAGCCCATTGGCCTCTGCTGGCTGTAGGCTGTAGGTCAGGAGTTCAAACAAACTGTTGGGCTTAATGGCAACACTTTCAGATCCACCCTCCTCTGAAAGCTATACTTTTAGATATATGTTTAACAGTATTATTGAATGGATAAAAATAATTTATTTCTAGGTTCCCACTATAATGTTAACATGCTCACTTCAACAGTACATATACCAAATATAATGTTATCAGGATGGCAGAAGTGTCCCCAGAACTCTGGTCCTAGAAATTAGAATCTTAGAAAGCTTTACAAAAGTTTGCACTGTTTAGATATTCATATTAAAACTGAACTCTAACAAATTGAGATAATTTTTTAAAATTATTTGAATGAAGCCCTTTATAAGTGTAACAACATGAATACCCTCCAAAGAAATTTTTAAAATTAAATTAAATTGAGTTTAAAGCAAGTTCAAATCAGCAAATAACACTATGAGCAAAGTCAAAAGATAAGCTCAGCAAATATTGTCAATTCTTCTCATAAACAAAGGACTAATTTTCTTGTCATATGAATAGTTTACCTAACTCAGTGAAAAAACATACAGCTGGGAAATGAGTCACCTATAAAAGACAGAATAATGCATGGCAGACATTGTTTTGGAATATTTATCATGTTTTCTGGGGCAAATAGATGAGAGCAGAATTGTCCAGAGGTAGAGAGGCTAATTGTGAAATAATTTCTACACAGTATGTTATATTGTATTTAGTATGTTGTACATATATACATTGTACGTATATTATAATATTGTACTTAGTGTACATACCTCAAAAACATCAATTACCCTTAATTTCATTTCTTCTTGCTTCCAATTTTATGGTATTTTCCTCCAGAATGAATTTAAAAATTTATAATTTGTCACCTAACCTCCAAATTGCTTAACATTTTTGATATTTTAACATTAAAAAAAGAAAGAGTTGTTTAAAAAGATGTTAGAAAGGTAAATTATTATTGTTATTGGAAAGTTGATTAATTTGTTCATTTGCTTGACTACATTTACTATATCCTTTAATTTGAGCTAATTATGATTTCATAATCTATTTACCACATACTTGAATTTAAAAGTTTGAGACTGTGAGGAGGAACTTAAACAGGAGTTAAGTATCTAATTTTGAGGGAGGCAGGATGGAAGCAGGAGAAAGTACTTTCTAGAAGGAACCAAACTGTATTATGTGCATGCACCCACTCTCCAATATGATTGTCCTGAAGGCACTGTAAACAGTACTATAGTAAAAATATTAATAATAGTATAAAAGGTAAGATTTGGAATTTCAAGTAGAGTTTACTATGGTGAGTATATATGAGACAGTGAAGACTGGTAATTCAGCTGTAAAAATGAAGAGGAACGATTTATGGGAAACCTTGACTATGTTTTTGGATTTTTAGATAATCAAGAAGTTAATTACTACTTTGACTACTTTTGAAGCTAGAGGGTTAGAAGTATGATAATGAACACTTTCATTAAGGAAAGACAAGACTATCAGAAATTATAGAAGTACTATGTTTGTAATAGTATAGTTTGGTTTGGCAATGGACATCAAAATGACAATATCCAAGCCTCAGATCATGAGCTTAGAGAGGTCGTGTAGATTAGGGAATCATTTGTACAGAGGTGGATGGGTTTTCTGAGGGTAAAGGAGTTAAAAGAAGACATATCTTGAAAAAAATGTTCATTACTATTTCAAAAATTTGTAGCAAAATTATTCAGTTAGTGTTTGAATTGGCACAGAGTCATCCTGATAATGATGGAATTTGTGTAAAGGGTTTTCATGTGAAAACTGACACTAAGATAAGCAGTCACATGCACTATATATCACATCAGTTCTGCTGAGACAGCTCTGTTAAAAAAAATCAGGGTTTGGTGCTCGCTTCAGCAGCACATATACTAAAATTGGAACGATACAGAGAAGATTAGCATGGCCCCTGCGCAAGGATGACATGCAAAAAAATCAGGGTTTGTAAACAATAATGAAATTATTCAATGTGTGTTGAATGCTTTTATGTCTGTTTTTATTTTTTAACGGATGAGGTCAGTATAAGTAATTAGATTACCTCATTCTAACATACTTATCTGATTATAACACAAAACACAGGAGGAACAACTACTCTTACTCATTAAACATCAAGTCCCTTTGTGTAAGTTTTGAGGTTATATCTCAAAATAATGGGAAAACAATAGGAAAAATTTATTTTTCAGAGTATACAGCAAATGTCACACAATACAAACCTTGTTTTACTATGACATAATTTCAAATTATATTTTGTACTTTATCATAATTTAACATTTAATAATAATATATCTATTTGCCCAAAGTATAACTTCCATTAAAGTCTATTACTCATTAAATAATTTAATTTTTTTCTAAAGTAAATTTTAGTGATATTATTCACCATATACTTATTTAAAAAGTTATGGGAACTTTTTTGTGTGAGTATATTTCTAAAAAGAATTATGGGTTAGCTACTTTTATGAGAGAAATATTTAAGTAGTTCAATGAAAATTTTCTTTTCTGATTTAATTTAAGTGTACTGTATAAGAAATATTTGATAGTATAGTAAATTTGTTTTAAAAAAGAGAGAAGGCTAGTAATATTCTCGAGCTATCACTGGTCTCACATCTCTATTATGATTAGTTCTGGGAGATCAGTGTCGGGTTGATGAGTTTCAACAACTTTATTCAAAGGCAAATAGAAAGGTAACATTAAAAATGAATTCAGATATCACTCAATGAAAGGGAAAAATGATGTAACCAAAAGAGAAGCCATCAGGAAGCAGATGCACTAAACGTACCATTAATCCCACTTGGAAAACAAATCCAAACTGTTGGGTTTGGTCTGCCTGAAAGTTTCATGCAAAGATGAATGACAGGGGATTTAGCTCAGCGGCATAAGTGTCTGCCTTGCAAGCAGGCAGTTGTGAGTTCGATCCCCGGTACTGATAAAAAAAAAAAATATATATATATATATATATATTACATATATATATATATATATATATACATAGCTTACATATAATATATATGTATACATACATATTATATACATATAATATGTATTCATATATTACATTTGTACACATTAAAGTAGTGTGTATATTGATTCATTTTTTAAAACTATAAATTCAACTGAAAACCTCATTTCATTTCAGTTAATTTACATATAATTATACTTACCTAATATTCTTATAACATCTTTAAAAGTTTTCCTGAGTTATTTCTTATCCCCTAACAGTCTTATAAAGTATGTTATATTCTTACAGATACTAACCAAGATCATATAGCTACCAATTAATAAGTGTGGAATTTGAAGTCTTTGGGTTTCACCAGGAAGGCTGCTTTCTCACTGATTCATCACTTGTCTCCTTTATAGGATATTAGAGTAATAAAATAGAAATTAGTTATTAATATATATTAAAGTTGCATTTGTTTTCCTCTTCAAAGTTTTTGACATTGACATAGAGTTGCAATCCTATTTAAGTATACCTATCTAATTTTGTAGTAGGGTAAGTCTCTGATTTAGGAACAAGTTCTGTTCTCTGACAATGTTTGCAAGTCAGATTCATTCAGAAGCACAAAAGGTGTCTTACACATCTTTGACACAAACATACAACATGAAGTATAAAAAAAACCCACATTCAAATGTGGTAAGTCCCTGGCTGTTCACTATCACACTGTCGCACTGTACAACACAACTATAACTGCAGAGCAACACAACTGTAACAATGTCTGGAGACACATGGGCTACTTCTGCGATTTGTTTGCATCAATGACTGTTCCTAAAGTGAGTCCTATTCTTACCTGTAAAAGTCTCACAAATTGAATGCTTACAAGTTGGGGACTTACGGGATAGAGGAAAATAAATAATTACAAGTTCAAGGGCATTCCTGGTTATCACACAGAATTGTAACGTATTAATTGACTTTACAGTTTTGTATACATTGAATGAGGGTACAGGTATTTCTTGGATTGAGAAGACTTTTGCTGTTATAAGTATCACTATGGAAAATCATATCACAATAGTTCTGCCACTTCTAGTAATAAATCTTCCTGGACAGACTCCAAACTGCATATTAATTTCCACACTCTGTTGTTGTATCAGAGAAAAGCATTATGAATTTAGAATTATAGTGTTAGGAAATATACATTTAATGAGCGAAGGACATGCAGAGCTGTAAGCTTTCAAAATAGGATTGTGCTTCTGAAACGTATTTCCTTCATTTTTAATTCATTGTTATTTAATTCTCACTAAAAAAGAAAACCACTCGACAATTTTCTTTCACTTTTTACTCCTTTGGAAAAATAAAGGGGGAAAACCATTGGTTTGCTTTTCTAGGTTGTAACATGACAGCTGGGGCTGGAAAAACTAGTAGGAAATAGTTATCCAAAAATAGGGTCCATGGTCTCCAATCATGCATAACCAGGAATATTCATAACCAGTAACATTATCTGAGTTATTGGACTGCATATGTTTTTGGGAGAGGGAGAAAAGCCCTTCCCTGTGTATGAAATTGAATTCTATAGCTTTATCTCACTGTGAATCCAGATAGCTGAATATTTATTCACTCTTGGTATTATGAAGCAAAAAGTCAGATTATTCCTAATGATTGAATTAATGTAAAATTAAGCTATATGCTGCTATAGAGTTACTGTATAAATGCCATGCCTTGTCCTTCAGTCAGAATATGAACTTTGAAATAACATATAGCCGTTGTAGGATAAGTATTTTAAAATAGATATCTCTCAGGTAGTATTGAGCTGAATGTTTTCTCTTGCCTAATGATGTATCTTTGTGTGCATGTGTGTGGAAAGAGAAAAAATTAGATGACAGTCAAATAAGGAAATGTGTACTTGCACATGTATGAAGTTTTAGCAAAAATACAGTGAATGCTTAATTTATAAAGTTTATGAAGAGACAAAATACTCTCCTTTGCTTCTGACACACTTGGGCCACTTTCTTGCCACTGGTTGAAGCAGTTCTGGAAGTCTTCTGTTGTGTCTGTAGTCATGCACGTCTTGATATAGGTTACTTAAGTGATTGAAAACAATTACCCTTGATAGACATTTTGATTTTGGGGAAAAGTCAGAAATCACAGGCTTCCAAATACAGTAAACAGAGTGGATAAGGACACACTTATGAGGGCACAAGCCTGTCTTCTTTCAGCAGTCCCACTCACTGTGCTCTGATCATTTCTCATAAATATGCAAAGAGACTTCCAGAGCTTCTTCACAAAGTGACAGGAATGTTGGGATATGTGTTTGAATCAAAAGGGAGTATTCTGAGGGGTATTAATGTAAATGTGTTGTTTAGCGTAATCATTTTTAAAGATTTAAACATTCACTCTGTATTTAAATCATCTGTGTGTATGTTACAGAAGAATATCATATATATGCTCTATATGAACACACATGCATGCAAATATAGCCTTTTGAGGAGGAGAAAAAAATGGCAGCTTGCTAGGGGCTGCCAGAGGGGTGCAGAGTCTCTGTGGAGAAATTAGATCAGATGTTAGAATATGACAACATGGAGAGGCCCAGAAGAATGGATAAAGATTCTTATTAACCAAGGCGGTAACTGAAGGGAAAAATAAAACTAGGAAGAGGAAGGGAAAGTATGGGTAGAGAGTTGAAGCCTGACATGCTCACTGAGCCCCATTGTGCGCTGTACTTGGTGTGTCCGGATATCCAAGGTTGCGCTAACACTGTGGCTGCCGATAATGGGAGTCGGCGAATCCAAGACCCTTAACAGGAGAACGTGGCACAGTGAGCAGTGGATCCAAGGGGAAAAGCTATATTGGCTCTTGTCGACTGCTGGGAATTGAGACCTGGGGCCCCACAAAGCAGTCAAAGCCACCTGGCTGTGCCAGAGGAGACTGTGTGAAGCTCCTGGGATCTGAAGCTGGACACTGCGCAGTTTTCTGACTGATCCGTGCTGTGCTGGGAATGCAGTGAAGACACACGGTACAGTGAGAAGTGAACCCAAGAGGAAGATCTGCATTGAGTCCCAGTGAATACTAGGGACTGGGTCCTGCGGCTGCTGTTGCTGGGTGGAGGATATCTTGGAGTTGGGCAAAGCCTACCGCCATGGTGACATCAGACAGTCACCCTTGGCACAGAGAGTTCTGGTGGGGGACATCTTGGAATTGGGCAGAGCCTGGTGCCGCAATGGTGTCAGTGACACAGAGAGGACTGCTGGAGGACCCTTGGCACAGAGAGTTCTGGTGGGGGACATCTTGGAGTTGGGCAGAGCTCAGCACTGCAGTGACATCAGATAGTTGCCCCAGGCGCAGAGAGGTCTGGTGGAGGACAGCTTGGGTTTAGGCAGAGCCCTGGGCCATGGTGACATCAGTCAGCCACTCTGGCACAGAGAGAACTGGCAGGGCCTTCTGGGCAAGAACTATGCCTCTGGTTGGGACCCAATAAGCAAATACAAAATTGTTGCGACTCTGTGATGTCCACAAGGTAGAGCCTAACTTGTGGACTGACTAGCACAGAGGCAGGAGGCTAGTCTGTACCATCCCTGCATCCCTGCCTGTACCTCAGATAACAGCAAATTGGGGAGGGCACCAAAAACTCCAGTCAGCTTGCTTCAGAAAGACCCTAAGTAATATGGAGAGGACCAGAGACCCCCAGGACACACCAGTCTGAAAGAAACCAGAAACATGACAAGAGATATAAATAAAAAAAAATCTCCAGCTGTTGAACCTGGGAAAATAAGCCCAGGAGAAGTAAATACAGAAGAGAATCAGCACAGTAACCATCTAATACTAGACACAGCATCAGCAAATATAAATAAATACCTTCATGACCTCATAGACAAACTTAAAACTGTACTTCTGATCCAAGTGAGGCAAGATATAGAGATTAATTAAAGAAATAATAGGCCCTCCCAAGAGAACACAGATAGATGGGAGAATGGAGGAAATCAGAAAAGAAAGAGAAACCTCTGATGAAGAATTTAAACATAACCTAG